GCTGAACCTGGCCTAGCTGCCTGGTAAATTTTTGATGATGGTATGAAACCACTGATGTTAGCTTCACAGGCTGACACCAAACTATTATATGTACCTTGTTTCACAACTGATTTCTCTACTGTATTCTGTACCAATTCATCCTCACCAGGCACTTCTACTGTCTTCTTATTTGTGGATTCTATTAAATCATTACTTTTGTGGCTTACTTTAAAAAGCATTTCTTCTTTTATATTCTCTGAAGAAAGCTTTAATAAGTCATTGTCGCTCCTCTCACTAAACTTTGGATTACTGACACTTGATTTTTTTCTGCTTGAATGAGCTACCATGCAATACTCAGATTTATTTTCTCCGTTCTGTGTTTCCTCACTGTAGGAAAACTGGCCTATTGTCTTCTCCTGAACCTCTTTCTCAGAGACCAAGGTAACACTTTCAACCACTGCTTTCTTTTGCCTAACACGCCTCGGCCCAGGGGTAGGAGGCCTATAAAAGTGAGGCCTGATGTTATCCTCAGGTACATTGCTCACATCTAGATCTGCAGAATTGTTCTTCTTACATATATTACAAACAGCAGTGTTTAAATCAGACTCTGAATCTTTTTCTGGCGTTTCTGCATTGAGTTGCTGCAATGAGGCTCCCTCTTCTTTATTGTAGCTCTTCAAAAATGGAGCATCTTTTGGTTTTATACGTTCTGATACATTTACGTTGGATAAGCAGTCTTCAGCACGCATTGCGGAATTGCAAACGGTGGTATTTTTGTCATCAGAAAGGCCAGCACGACTTACGGTCGTTGTCCATTTAATGGTTTCTTCCTCTTTAATTTTGAATCGAACTTTCATTTCCACTGTGATACTGCCATCTTGATTAAGGTGAACGGATTTCTCGATGTCTTCTTGATACTGTGCCACAGATAAGTCTTCACCAGTAATTGACTGATTTCCTTCTGTACCATTATGACTGTCAGGAACATAGGAAGAATCTGAGTTGTTATAATTTGAGTTGTTATCATTGCTGGACCCTTTATCAGAAGAAACTGAAAATATCTGAGATCTTGAGCTAGAGCCCATTTCAGCTCTCACTACCAATAATTACATTGAAAGAACCCAAATTCATTCAGCAGGCAGAAAGTAGAGCAGAAAAATATCACGCATACGAATCCGGATGGTGGGACAGCAGACAGGCAGCAAAGGAAGAAAAAAGAAGAAAGGAGAAGAATTAGTACAAAGGAAGCTAATGAAGTGTGTATATTTTACCAGAGTATTAGGAAGTAAAGAGAAAAACATGGCTAAACTTGCTGTTCATTTTAATAAATTGTTAACAAGAGAAATATAAACAATTTTTAATAAAGTATTAAGCATTTCACTACTTTTCACTTAATTTTATTTTGCAATAGGTTCTTTCTAATGCCAGAGCTATAGTCTTATTTGAAGCTCCAAAGTCTCAAAGAGTATTAAATGCTCTCATTTTATACTTAGTTGGGAGCTGATGTTGCCTTGAACTTTTCAAGGGGTTCACAGGCCCTTGCTGTTTTGGGCTTCAAGCTACCCAATTTACATCTCCTTCACGCCTTAGCCATCATTAATACATCATTTCCTATTAGTTCTTACAGTTAGTGCTAAAATGTGTCAGTCAAGGTGAACTTATATCTCACTGGCTTAATACAACAATCTACAGCATATGAGTAGTTACTGTGAGTATTGCCACTGACACCTGAATAAAGGGTTCAGATCCAATTCCCTGGACTGACCTTCTGTAGAGAAGTAAACATTGAAGCATTTCTTCTAAAATCTGAATTTAAATCACGACATTCTGAGATACATTTTGTTACAGTACTCTGGGTGATGGAGCAAAACTTACTAAAGCCAATGAGAATACTTCCAGGCTTCAGTGAATTTTGACTATGGCCCAATATGTTTGCATACACATTAAATATTCCCAAAATATGTTTTGATTACTCTGTAATAACTTGGCTTTTAAAAAAATTATATATTCTCATCTCTCTCTAGCGGTTGTCACTGAAGAGGTGAGAGATAAAAGAACATGAAATAAAAATAAAGTTTTGGTGTCTTCCAAGAAGTTCTGCGTATGTGAGGGAAACAGTGCACATACACCCACACAGAGACATCCACAGCTGTTACTGATACCTAAATATATAGGAGCCACCATTTAACAGGAGGGTTTCACTTGAAGAAAAGTATTTTAACACATGTGATATTAGCTTATCCACATTGCTTAAATTTAAGCTTTTTTTTTTTTCTCAAGTGAGTCACAAATGGTCTCATATCAAGACTTTCAAAGTTAGCATATTACTGTTATAGATATGTGTCTATAATTTCAGGAAGAATGCCTTGCAAGTTTCCCAGGCGTATGGTTTGCCATGAACTGATTCAGAAATAAAAGTTTGTACTAACTCCTCTAACACAGACTAGACCTTATGCTTCCCAAAGTAAAAATGTCACCTGCTCTGTCTCATGAAATGGAATTGGAACAATGTTCCTGAAATTTGATTTTTCAGGTTCTCACATCATCAGTGATGTTTCCTATACAGGATACTTCAGAATTTCTCAGGTTAAAGAAAAAAAAAAGAGGGTTGGGGTTTTTTTTCTCTTTCTGTAATTGCTGTTAACCAAGGATCAGAAGAGAAGTGGGACCTTATCAGATTCTCAGCTACTCACATTTTCTGCCGTTGCAAGGCTCAATCTCTGGCTTAAAGCAAAATTTGGGTACGATTTTTTGTTTCTGCAGAATTTTTATTCTCAAAATGTTCCTATTCATGCTCTCTTGACTCATTAGTTACGCTGTGCAAGCAGCTCTCAAGCTGTGCCAGTCAAAGAACACAAAGGCTGCAAAAAACTAAAATGAAGAGTTTGATGGGGACATAATAAATTGTGAGAGATATGGAAGAAATTCCTTCAAGTAAGTGGAAGCTAAGTGTCTTATGTACCAATGTGCTCCATGACACAATCAAGATTGCGGTGGAAAGTCTCAGTATAGAAACAATTACCAGGTTCCCTGGGCCCTCCAGTACAGTATGCAGCTGTATCAAGAGTACAAGGTACCTCTGGATTACCCCTAGCCGATACCTCTGCCCTCCAGGATGCTCTGATGCCCAGGATTCCCACATGACCTAAAGGTCTGGTACCACAGCATTTTCTTCCCTTCAGCCTCAAACTATTCAGCTAGCCTGGTGTCTCTCCAACAGCTCCTTGTGTTCTTGGTCATCCCCTGGACACTTCGTACTCTTACTGACCTTGTCAGTGGCACAAGTCCACAGGTAATCAAAAGGAAGGTACATATTTGTGTATCTTTTCCCAAACTTATCCAAAAAACCTATAACATAGCCATGAGGAGATAGGAAATGATCACACTGTTTAGACAAAAGCAGCCTCAAAACCATGATGAATTTGTGAGTAGATGGATGCTACAATGTTTTTTCCTGTTTATGTGGAGCATGGGACATGGGAAAAAGTGGAAGTCATGACAATGACAAGTCACTTCCACTTGCTAAGGTAAGTTCTGAAAACTGCACAAAAGTTTTGCTCAAGAAATTCAGTCAGTTAAGAGCCTGAAGTAGCCTGTGGTTTCTCTTTTACCACTGCCATTATTAACTGTGACATCAAAAAATTAGTAACAATCAAGTATATTAAAATAAAATATAGATTTTCTTCCATGTTTTAAATAAGTCTGCTGGAAAAAAATATACATGCTAGCTGAGTACGTAGCAGAAACTTACATTTTAAAAAGAACTTTAACACTTTGATCTTTCTTATGCTTATAGAGGAGTCAGGGCAGATATGAAGAGTATCAACCAGCCTGTTAGAGTATCCTTGATCCTAATAAGATTGTAATAGTTTATGTTTTATGTTGAGAGAGACAAACCTATTAATGAAATACAAATTAATTCAAAGAACTTACTATTTTCACTTTCTGACTTGGCATTTGCTTTTGGGTACACACGATTTGCAATTCCAAGCAATTTAGCAGGTCGAGAATACCCAAGAGAATCATAATTGCTTGGTTTAAAAGGCTCTCTCCCTGCTGCGACTACAGCTCCGGAGCATAATATCAAGGCCTGAAGATTAGGAACCTGGAAAAAAAAGAAGGTAACGTTAAATTCTCTGCCTTAGTAATCACAAAAAATAATGTAAGAGATTTGTCCCTTTCATTCTTTAATATCTTCACTTCTTAGTCTATACATTAGTTTGCAGCAGCCTGTCCAATACATATCACAGCACGGAATTAATTTTTCAATTCCTGTAAGGCAATTGCTATCTCTGTGAGGGCACATCATGTTATACAAATAAATTACAAAAAGAATTCAAGAAGCAACTTGGATCCGGATCTAATTTCTCTTATAATTTAAGTGTTTGCATATGTAATTTTGTTTCATCGTCGCACAGTGACTGTTCATAGCCATGAAACAGGAATATGCACTTGCAGGTAGGTATACATACGAACATATGTTTGGAGGAAGAAAAGGGATATTCAGAATGCTCCACTAGGACTTGACCTGAACTGCCAGACAGGAATACGACAGAATCACAGAACAATATATGTTGGAAAAGACCTCTGGAGTTCATGTAGTCTAACCCGCTGCTCAAAGCAGGTCTGACAAAGTGCTCAGAGCTTTGTCTAACAGTTTTGAATTTATGTTCCAAGATATATTACAAGATAAGGCTTACAAACTGCACTTCCCTGGCTCATAGGTTATATGGACAATTTGCCAATCCAATATAGAATTTCACCAAATGGAGGGTAAACACAAGATTTCCCCTGAACTCTTGGTGCTCTGCATGGAATTCTCTTTCCAGATACCTGTAAGGTATAATCATAAGTGCTTTTCTGTGGTTAAAAAACACAGATAAAACACTACGTGAGCTAAAATTATGCAAAAATAGCACGTGAGATGAAAATCAGGATTTTTAGTGCTGCATCATTTGGGCTGAGAGGTACAGAACCTGCTCTGTGGTTTGGAAACTATAATAGACTATAATAGGTGTCATACCTTCAAGTCATTAATGGCAAACCACTCTGCATTTCTGTAATGATAAAATATGTGTGGCTATTAGATGCTACTTATCGTATTTTGAAAACATTAAAAATCACAGATAAACAGCATTAAGAGTAAAGGAAGTTTCTGGGTAAATGTGTAAAAATGTAGACTTGAGAGCATGGCTGGAAGAACCCTGAGTAAGAAAAAATATTTTTTCATGATGACTTAAAATAAAATGTCATCACTTGCTTGTCTCTGATCACAAGATTCCAGCACATTTCCTCCAAGCCAGTAGCCTTTCTGAAGGAGAAAAGGCATAGAAAGGAAACAGCTGAAGTTCAGCACACCAGATTCTTACACCAGACCAGGGTCCCAAGCTTATAATTAATAAAATCACTTTTTTAATTAAAAAAATCTAGAAGCAATCATAGAAAAATTATTAGCACTCATCTTTATCCTCACCTTTCTGCCATCGGTGGTATACAGCTTCACGACTGGATATTGCATTAACTCACTCATGTAATCCAGAAAGGCCTCAAAGGTTTGGGTATTCTTCCTTCCCAGAACGATGGTGCGCCTGAGTCTTACATCCCCATTTTTGAAAACAAGCATCTTTTTGGGAGTTGTAATTTTGCTTTCTCTATAGCCAGATCCATCTTCATTGTCCCTCGCTAACTGCACAGCTCGACGACGAGCGCTGACAGGCCTACTGATCTGCCAGGGCAGTGGCTTTTTGCTGGCCTGTTCCAGGTTGATGGGCTTCATTTTCCTCTGGTGGGAGCAAATATAAGATTTTCCATCTTCGAGCTCCTCCAAATTGGTGATGTTGTGTCTCCCTTTCGGTGTACTAATATTCCTTACTCCAAAAGGTAATGGGACCCGCTTGGATAAACTATCCAGCAAGGCATCAAACGTTTTGTAAGATCGGTTGTTAATGACCATTTTGATCCCGTTGAACTGAGGATCTCCACTTTTATAGAAACAGATGCGTTTTGCCACAACAGGTTCAGTAACGTTGAAATGGCGCGTGGATAAACTTTGTTCGCTCTCGGAAGAGTTTGGCTGATTCACCGAGTAACTGGTTGAAGGTGTTTCACTCATTTTGACAGCAATCTGGAAGAAAGAGGAGATGGATGTAAAACTTTTCTTATGACTAGTGATAATATGGTCTTCATTCTGAAAGGTGCAGAAAGAGAATTTATAGGAAACCAACAGCAGTAAGTTGTGCCAACAATCATTGGATCTAAATGGATCCAAGCTGTTATCTCTAAATTCCACAAAGACTCCAGTACTGACAGATTAAATTTGCATAGCCCCACTTCCAAATATTCCCAAAACTCTCCAATGTCATTTCAAATCTCTTATCATTTTGGTGCAAGAGACCCTTCCTTACAAGAAGGCACTTTGTCAGTCCAGAATGATAATTTGATGTTTTCTTTCTTGAGGATGAAGCTAATGACAGCATTTCATATCTAAGATATTAGCAAAATTCTTATTAGGAGGAAGCAATTCGTGCCTAGGCGTGAGCCATGTGCAATCCAAAATAACAAAACTGAAAGACAATAGAATTCATTCTGATCTCCTGCTAGTTTTAAACCAGCGCAAAAAATCCATCAGAGACAAGGCTCCTGATTTACTAAACTGTAAACTGTACCAGAATAAGGCCCAAAACATATTTTAGAGTTAAGCTGCATCATAAATTGACAGTTCATTTGCATTTCTATTATAAGTTTTATATATCATTATACATAAAAACAACAATATGGGCATTTATACTAAGGGAAAAATTACTGATCAAATAAGACCTTTTTTTACTAAGAGAAAAGTCTTTAAATCCTTTATAAAGACACAAAAAAATTCTGGTGTTCTTCAGTAGAAGTAGCCTTTAAAATGAAACATTTGAATACTGGTCTTTTAAACAACAGATTATTTCTGACAACTATATCAATAGTCTTCGTGCTTGAAAACAGAGCTCTCCCTCTACAGTCTTTCCATTTGAATACAATCCACAAACAGATACTGCAATGCCAGCCCTCTAAATGAACAAAAGTGCTTTATCTTAATGATTGGCTTGCTTTGACTGGAACACAGAGTAGAAATGGTTAGAGTCAACTAATCAGCCCCTAGGAAGCAGTTTTAGTAGAGTTTTACTGAAAACCTGTATAGCAGTCTCAGGGAATATGTTTGTCATCAAAATAATATAAATTAAATTATTTGACAGTGTCACCTCGATGTAGCCGCCATATTGACTAATGGAACAAACTTTTCTGGCTGCTATATATTTTTCTTAATGAAGCTATGGAAAAACAATATTTTTACTATTTTACTACCACATACATCAGTTCTGAAACTGATAGAAACTGTTGCTATTTTTCAAGAGCGTCAAGGTTCAAATAAAGTCAGATTTGACAAGATTTTATCTGACTGTGTTCTTACAGCTTTTCCAGTAACGCACTGTTTTCAGCTCGGGTGTTCTGCCTTCAGTAAACATTAATAACTTTTTAAATGTTTGCTATTTTGAAAAATGGTCAGAGCACAAGAAGAAATGTCTCCTTTTAATGCATTATTTGTGCTGTAAATTGTACTCGTTTTAAGTGCTAAAACTGAAAAATAACCAAACAGAATGATGTACACAATGATTGATTTAGGTAATCAAAATTCCATTTAAAATAATAAATAAAAACCAAAAAAAATAAAAATAAAAAAACTTGTAAGTATTTAATTAAGGAATATGCAGGCAGACATTTTCAAGCTTGGCTGGAGCAACTTATACAACCCAGTCCCTGATGGCTAGTGGAGTGGCTTACTTTCTGCTCCTCTTTTTTAATACATCTATTAATTAGCTGCCTACATTTTCATTACACTTCTAAACTGTGTGGTTGACAGGTGAACTAGGGACACAATTCAAACTGGACATTTCATCCTTCTTGCACCTCTCTGTCTATACTGATATCCCCAGAGGAGATCCATAAGGGCATCTTTATTGCTAGCTGCAACACAAACTTTCCTGCTCTCTTTGTAGAGCCAATGTTCTACTCCAAAGAAAGCAGCAATGACAGTAGTAAAGTTCTTGAGTGAACTGCATATTGTGTTACCCCATTTAACCAGCCAAGAAGACTTGAGCTCTCTAACAGAGTCCAGCCCAGGACCTCTGAGGTAAGGGGAGAAAACTGTCAAGTCATCATCAATAATGACCAGCGAGAGAAATGAACAGGCATAGCTCCTCAGCTGCTCTGTACTGTGACTTCTCACCCTTTATGAAAATGGAGTGGAATTTCATCACTTGTACAAAAGATAAAATAGGCAGATTTTCTCGTGAGACTGCTGATAATAATCACTTTTGAATTAGACTCTCAGAAGTTGTTCTGGATATTTGTACTTGCATAAAACACGGAATAACTTGAATTCACAAAAGTAATTAAGAAACAGAAGTTTTCCTTAGCAAAACATAAAATTAATGATAAAACACAGTTTTGGCAGAGAACTGACAGTTGCATAGCACACCACGTATGAAAACTTTCTAGTATTAATTTTCATAGTGGAAAATAGTTATGCATCTTCCAGATACCTCATAATTGCATCTTACAAACAGAAAACATATCAAGAAGTGAATAATCAACATATTGTAGAAGTTACTATTTCATACTACAGGTCATCTCACTGTAATAGCTTCATTTCATCTTAGACATAGCATCGATTGTCACATTTAAATGATTTTATTCTAAAATTAAGAAGTAGCTGATATTACATGATACACAATGTCTATTGAGATATTTTGCAGCAATTCCAATGTTAAGAATTCTATTCTGCCAGAAAATCAAACAACATTCAGAATTGAATCCCTTTGCCTGCATTCTCATAAATAAAACCACACATTCAAAGTTTATGCACAAAGCTGACAAATTTTATAAAATAATTAAGTGGAACACTTTGTTCTAAATATATAAAAATACCATAATAATGCCATATAGCTGGTAAGTATTGCACATAATTTCCTCATACTCACCCACAGTCGCCTCCTATGTAAATAGAAAAGTAGTTAGCTTGTTTTCAGAGATTTATAAATTGTACATGTGATTGTCTATGCCATATGAAATGAACATCCTTAGTCTTATTCCAAGTGCGCTCAGCCAGAAAAAACATCATAATCCATTTGCTTAATCTCAGATAATGTTAGTCACAAGACCAGGTTCAAGTCAGGTGGCCATTGTTCAGAGCAGAGTGTCCGACATTTCACTCAGCAAGTCCTCTTATGTTATTTTTACACTCCATTTACCTTTTAAATATTTCACTATATAGTTTTCTGTTTACTTAGATGGCTCAAGAGACACATAGAACCACACAAAATAAAAATGTGGGTGGGGAACACAGGTCACCTAATCTATCTTCTTACCAGTGTAGCGTTATCCTCCAAGCTAAATTCTTTAGCGCTATAAATTTTAAATAGGTTAAAATGATGCTTCTACCACTCACCTTATGAGATTATTTATTAACCATCTCCTGGCATTAATTCTTACTTTTGTTCATTCGTTTGGTCAAGATGATCCTCTTTGTACTAAAGATACTCCCACATTTTCTCTTTTCAGATATCACAATGAAAATATTCCCACTGTTTCTTTTACAACACTTGATAAAACATGACAGTCTGAAGGAGTTTTGTCATCCATTAGGCATTCTCCATTGCAATATGTTGGAAAAAGCACAACGCGAAAACTATAAATGTGTGTGAATATAGTTTATGAAGAGACGGGAGGATTACGTTGAACTGTAGCTTAATTATAACATAGAATGTGGTTTTTTTCTTTTTCCAATAGAAATACTATGTCCCTGGGTGGTAACTGTTCCATCTAAATGCTACCAGACGTATAATCTGATTTGCAGCTTCTTTGATTAATCAGGATTACAGCAAGCTCTCACAACTAGCTGTGTAGAACAGGAACAAAACCACTGCTCAGTAGGCACTACCACCATGTGCCTTGAGAGTTTTTAGCTGTTTTCCTTAGTAGAGAATTCAGTGTGCATAGAAGTTTTAAAACACCACTTCAGTTCCACTTTCCTAATATGCATAAGCACAAACATTAAAGGATAACCTTGCACAGATATTTTACTATAAACATTGCTTTCTTAAAAATTATATTAATAGAATTATTTAGGTTCTTAAGCTATTTTAGTTAATATACTGCTTATATTCCAGACAGTATTTTTGTTTACATTTTTTCAGAAGATGATCAAGTGCAAATTCTATGTTATTTTGATGTCTTATAACTTAACCACTCATGCAGGAATTTTTATAGAGTTGATTTTCTTTTAAGTGCAGGATTTAAAATATCACTGCTACCCTCATTAGCTTTCCAGTGCAGGCAAAGCCACTTCCAATAACCAGCTAATCCATCAGTAGCTTCCGTGTACCACTAGAATTTGAGACCCAAGAGATACTACTTCTGTTGAAGGTGATAAACAAGTGTCACCATTTGACGATGTGAATGCCCCTTAATTCTCTAAGACTTCAAAAGGTTTACAAAACTTCTGTCCAGACACATGTAACTTAAAAGCTCCACTACATTCCTTCTTCTACTACAAGCATTCTATATATTCTGAAAAGACAGAACAAATCCTCAACTTTATAGGAAAAATAACATCAATAAGAATATGTTTAATTCAGACTTAAAGATAACAAGCCACAAAAAAATATCACAGTCCTGTAGCAATCAATATTGACACAAAACCACTTTTCATCTATTCATGTAGGCAGCTGGACTGACATCCACGGAACTACTAAAGCAATGTGATAAGAACACTTGTTCTTTTCATATAAACCGTTTCAAAGAAGAATTGCAGAATATAAAATTAGTCCAGAAAATTTAAGAAGGCAAAATCAGGCCACATGAGAAAACACAGCAGTGATTAAAATTGTCTGGGTTGATGCCATTCTCACTTTTAAATCACATGCCTGTTTGTCTCAAGAACATCTTCAGTTCTCAGTTCTGATACTAAACATATTATATTTCGATATCCCTCTTGGTCCTATTTTTGTAAGGATTATGGACTGGTCGGTAGCTGAAATTATGACCATATCACTGTGAGGCAGTCACTAACATCAG